CTTTTAGATTGGTCCAGCGGATGCTGAGCTACACTAGAAAACAAATTTGGAAAAATTTTCGAAAAAAAAAATTTGCCAGATAATGACTCGAGAATAATGCCAAAAAATTGAGCAAAAAGTCTCGAACAAAAAATGTATGGCGCACTTTTTGATTGGTCCAGCGGATGCTGAGCTACACTCACTAAAACTGGGGCAAAATTTTCGAAAAAAAAAATTTGCCAGATAATGACTCGGGAATAATGCCAAAAAATTGAGCAAAAAGTCTCGAACAAAAAATGTATGGCGTACTTTTTGATTGGTCCAGCGGATGCTGAGCTACACTCAAAAAATCCTGGAAGTAATTTTCGAAAATTAAAATTTGCGAGATAACCGCTCGGGAATACCGCCAAAGTCTTTAGCAAAAAGTAGCGAACAAAAAATGTATGGCGCACTTTTTGATTGGTCCAGCGGATGCTGAGCTACACTAGAAAACAAATTTGGAAAAATTTCGGAAAAATTTCGGAAAAATTAAATTTGCGAGATAATCGTTCGGGAATACCGCCAAAGTCTTTAGCAAAAAGTAGCGAACAAAAAATGTATGGCGCACTTTTAGATTGGTCCAGCGGATGCTGAGCTACACTAGAAAACAAATTTGGAAAAATTTTCGAAAAAAAAAATTTGCCAGATAATGACTCGAGAATAATGCCAAAAAATTGAGCAAAAAGTCTCGAACAAAAAATGTATGGCGCACTTTTTGATTGGTCCAGCGGATGCTGAGCTACAATCACTAAAACTGGGGCAAAATTTTCGAAAAAAAAATTTGCCAGATAATGATTTGGGAATAATGCCAAAAAATTGAGCAAAAAGTCTCGAACAAAAAATGTATGGCGTACTTTTTGATTGGTCCAGCGGATGCTGAGCTACACTCAAAAAATCCTGGAAGTAATTTTCGAAAATTAAAATTTGCGAGATAACCGCTCGGGAATACCGCCAAAGTCTTTAGCAAAAAGTAGCGAACAAAAAATGTATGGCGCACTTTTTGATTGGTCCAGCGGATGCTGAGCTACACTAGAAAACAAATTTGGAAAAATTTTCGAAAAAAAAAATTTGCCAGATAATGACTCGGGAATAATGCCAAAAAATTGAGCAAAAAGTCTCGAACAAAAAATGTATGGCGTACTTTTTGATTGGTCCAGCGGATGCTGAGCTACACTCAAAAAATCCTGGAAGTAATTTTCAAAAATTAAAATTTGCGAGATAACCGCTCGGGAATACCGCCAAAGTCTTTAGCAAAAAGTAGCGAACAAAAAATGTATGGCGCACTTTTTGATTGGTCCAGCGGATGCTGAGCTTCACTAGAAAACAAATTTGGAAAAATTTCGGAAAAATTAAATTTGCGAGATAATCGTTCGGGAATACCGCCAAAGTCTTTAGCAAAAAGTAGCGAACAAAAAATGTATGGCGCACTTTTAGATTGGTCCAGCGGATGCTGAGCTACACTAGAAAACAAATTTGGAAAAATTTTCGAAAAAAAAAATTTGCCAGATAATGACTCGAGAATAATGCCAAAAAATTGAGCAAAAAGTCTCGAACAAAAAATGTATGGCGCACTTTTTGATTGGTCCAGCGGATGCTGAGCTACACTCACTAAAACTGGGGCAAAATTTTCGAAAAAAAAAATTTGCCAGATAATGACTCGGGAATAATGCCAAAAAATTGAGCAAAAAGTCTCGAACAAAAAATGTATGGCGTACTTTTTGATTGGTCCAGCGGATGCTGAGCTACACTCAAAAAATCCTGGAAGTAATTTTCGAAAATTAAAATTTGCGAGATAACCGCTCGGGAATACCGCCAAAGTCTTTAGCAAAAAGTCTCGAACAAAAAATGTATGGCGTACTTTTTGATTGGTCCAGCGGATGCTGAGCTATACTCACTAAAACTGGGGAAAAATTTTCGAAAAAAAAATTTGCCAGATAATGACTCGGGAATAATGCCAAAAAATTGAGCAAAAAGTCTCGAACAAAAAATGTATGGCGTACTTTTTGATTGGTCCAGCGGATGCTGAGCTACACTCAAAAAATCCTGGAAGTAATTTTCGAAAATTAAAATTTGCGAGATAACCGCTCGGGAATACCGCCAAAGTCTTTAGCAAAAAGTAGCGAACAAAAAATGTATGGCGCACTTTTTGATTGGTCCAGCGGATGCTGAGCTACACTCACTAAAACTGGGGCAAAATTTTCGAAAAAAAAAATTTGCCAGATAATGACTCGGGAATAATGCCAAAAAATTGAGCAAAAAGTCTCGAACAAAAAATGTATGGCGTACTTTTTGATTGGTCCAGCGGATGCTGAGCTATACTCACTAAAACTGGGGAAAAATTTTCGAAAAAAAAAATTTGCCAGATAATGACTCAAGAATAATGCCAAAAAATTGAGCAAAAAGTCTCGAACAAAAAATGTATGGGGCACTTTTTGATTGGTCCAGCGATGCTGAGCTTCACTAGAAAACAAATTTGGAAAAATTTCGGAAAAATTAAATTTTTGAGATAATCGTTCGGGAATACCGCCAAAGGCTTTAGCAAAAAGTAGCGAACAAAAAATGTATGGCGCACTTTTTGATTGGTTTAGCGGATGCTGAGGTAGATCAAAATAAATTTTCGAATTTTCGAGATAGTCAGTAACACCGCCCAAAGTCTTAAAGCGGGAGTAGCGAACAAAAAATTTATGTCACTTGGAATAGAACAAAATCATCCAAAAATTATTTTTGATATAAATTAATTAGAATTTTTTCTCAATTTTGAATTATTAATTTGAATAATAAATATCTAACCTTGTCTGTGATTATGATGGACCCAATATTTCGGACGATGAGCAATCTGCCAGAAACACACGCGATTTAAATTATTTCGAACACTCCCGAAAACGCACATGCTATAAAAGGAACCCAAATTTTTTTTTACAGATTTTGAACGATCGCGATTTTAGGAATTTCGAACACTCCCGAAATTAAAATTTTGACTATTTAAAGAAACTCACTTGTATTGTGAAAACCTAAAATTTTTAAATATCACACTCACGTTTCTCGCGTCTAAACGGGTCACGGCACGAAATGCAACTGATTGAATATTCTTTGAGATTTTATGACCTTCCTGTTTATCCCTTGTACTTTCATTTATTAGTAAAGCTGGGACCGCAGGTATAAATGTAATAAAACTTCAAAATCTTATAATAGTTTGAAATTATAAAATTTATATTTAATATTACTATTTCAGAGGTTCATGACCTTTATAGATTACTATTTGAGAGGCTCATGACCTTTATAGAGTAAATGACCTCAATATTGGATTATTTATAAATCTCCTTTAATATGTAATTCGACAATTTAGAAAATCACTAATGACAAAATAATGGTGATGAGAATCAAGAGAATCATTTTCTGACTGCTCTACACGAATTTCAGTTTAATATTTCATCAAAAATACGACAAAGAAGAAATATTTGGTAAACATTACCTGACAATATTTAGGTGGTATATAATTAACGTTGTTGCAACATTGCCTCTATATTGCTGTTCAATATTCGCAATATAGTTATGAAATATTGAGAATTATTTAATAATTATTATTATTATCAATTAGAATTATTGTTAGAATAATTAAATAATTAGAATTAATTATAATTAGAATAATAATTATTATCATGAATAATTGAGATTGCACTACAGTACACGAATTTTGATATAAAGTTTTATTCTTTATATGGCTAAAGGTACATTTGTTAAATTGATATTACCTCTATATAAGATAGCCCTCTATTTTCCTACCCCAATGTAACCCTTGAAATTCTATCGTAACGCGACTTTCGTGTTAAGGGAAGCAATTTGGTTAATGATACCTTTATATCATGCTTGCAGCTAGGGTCTTTCTATTCATGAATTTATGTATGGCACTTTTTTTCACAATTTAATTTTTTTCAACCTCTACTATATAGATACTGTCTTTTCAAGGTTATGACCCAATTTCAAAATTACTATATATATATATATATATAGAAACAATTTTTGTCCATTAAATAATTATTATGAGAGAATCAGTAAACGATAATTACTTTTAAACATTTAGAAGTTCTTTTTTTTAAATTAAATCTGATAGGAAAGGCAAATGAAATTTGTGCAATTGGTATTAATTAGCGAAGAAGATGAAAAATGCTAAAAAAAAAAATTTTGTAATATTCACAAGGCTTTAGTATATTTTCCACTTTTCGAAGGATTCAATCTGATATTATGAATCGTTTATGAGAGAGAAGGAGAAAGAGCCAACGATATGCTTTTTACGTGTTATTACGACTCTTGATAATTGTGTTTGAACGAAATTAATGCAAAACCTATCATCGGTTTCGTTTTTTTTTCTTTTTTTGAACCAGTTTCTGTAAATGAGTTTATATTATTCGTTAAAACTGTGAAACATTCTTTTAATTTACCGAATTATATATAAATTAAAAATTATTTTTTTATAAATAAATAATATATAATTAATTTATTTATAATTAACAAAAATAAATTCGAATATTTTAAAAACAAAAATACTTTCACAAAACGAAAGTAGTTTAACCTCAACTTTTTATATATATATATATGTATATATATATATATATATATATATATGTATTAAACGACAATTAACCGAAGTCAGAGAAAAGTTTGTTGAACTTTTTACACAATAATGAGAATACTTTTTCAACAATCGTTTTAGTTTATTTTCAAGTTTATTACAATAAAAATCATAATAATTCGAGAATACTTGTTATATAATTGAACTAATATTAATAATTATATTATATATTAACAGCATATTGAATATACATTATTAAAAAATAATGTATATATTATTAAAAATAATATAAATATTTATAATTTAAAACCAAATAATTATTAATTATTTATATATAATTAAATTTCTTGTGTAATAAGAAATTTATTTTTTATTTCCTCACAAATTAAAATGATTTTAATTTTAATTTCAGAAGACATATATAAATATAAGCCGACCATGAAAACGGGAACTCTAAGCAGAGATTCAATTTTCGGAACTCAATATTGGACATAAAGGTATGTAAACAGTTTTAGAATGTAATAATTTTATGAGAATATAATTTTGTGAGTTAATGGATTCTGAAGTATCACTACATTACTTGGTTAATTATTATTGAAGGAAACTTGAATAGAATGAAATGTTTTTTGAATCATTTTTTTCGGGGGTCTGACTAAACACTGACTTTTACTACTGAAAACTAAAATTAATTAATTTTTTTATTATTTACACTGAATAAGCACTAACATTTATCACTGAAAATAATAGTTGGAGAAGAAATGGAGAGATTAATTTTTCCTGGCTGACTAAATACTGACTTTTACTACTGAAAAATAAAATTACTTCAATTTATTTGATTTTTAAGAATGACTAAACACTAAAAATAATATTTTTACTAAAAATAATATTTGAAGGATAACTAAAGAAGTTAATTATTTTCTTGTCTGACCATACACTGATTTTTACTACTGAAAAAATGTTAAAAACCAATTTTTTATTCTAATAATCGAAGCTGACTAAATACTTATCTTTACTACTGAAAATGTTTCTAAAAAACTAATTCCTTCTTTCATATATTCTTCGAGACTGACCAAATACTGACATTTATTACTAATATATAATAAATAGTAAACAAAATCAACTTATTCGTTTTAGGCAAAAAGTTAAAATAAATTTTTTTTTCTTATATCAAATAAAAAATAAATGCTCCAGCCAACCATTTTTTTTTCTGTGCACATTTGCAAATAATCAGTGTAAACATTTAACAAAGTAGCGAGTGAAATTCAAATTTATAATTAAAAGTAATCTGACGAAATGTAATTAAATGTTTTAAAACTGGATTTCACACAACGGCATTTCTGTTTACGATTCTCTTTCTCACTCTTTCTTTTTTCTCTTTCTATCTACACTCATTCACATACGAAGTGACTGTCACAAATTAAAATGTAAATTAAATAGCTCTAAGGTTGTCTCGTCAATATTTAAATTGTTGGCTGATAAAATGCAACATATACGTATATAGAACACATTTTAGTCCAATTTCAAAAAGCACAACATATGGTCACACAATATTGGAAATATTGCATGGCAATATTAAGGCAATATTGTTGCAACATTAATTAGATCCGTTTTGAGGCTTGCCAAAAAATATTTAGGAAACATTGCCTTGCAATATTGCATAATTATTTCCTGGCAATATTTAGGGAGGACATTAATAATTTTGTTGCAATATTTTCAAGGAAATATTTAAAACTGACAAAATTAATTTTGTTACAATATTGCCTCAATATTGACAGGAAATATTTAAGTCTGACATTAATAATTTTGTGTCAATATTGCCGAAATATTCCAATATTTAGAAAATACATAATAAATATTGTAGCAATATTGACAAAAAATATTGAAATCTAACAAAATTAATTTTGTTGCAATATTGCCAGACAATGTTTCAGCGATATTTCCTCAATATTTCCATGCAATATACGCAATCTTGTTATGAAATATTGATGCAATATTGTAGCCAATATGTTGTGCTATTTTGTCTTCTATTTTTATTATACGAAATAAAAGTAAACATGTCTCTGAATAGTAAAGTAGTTCGTTTTGTGAGGAAAAGTGCTTCAGTTTCCAACCCTTTTTTTGGTACAGTAAAGGGAAAAGCGAAAGGTGACAAAAAAAAAAAAAAAAAAAAAAAAAAACGAGAGTACTTGAAAAGCACCCTCACGATACTTGAGTTTCAGTTATTGCGGAGTTTCCAACAGTGACTCGTATCGTATTGTGTGAAAACGGCACTTATTTCAATTATCTGTCCTCCCCCTCTTCCTATTTCGTTGAGCATCATTCGCGCTTTTTAACCTATTCACATTTGAATATTATCCTTCATTTCTTGACCATTTTTATTTTTCTACTTAATAATACCAATTTCCCACATCTCTGTCCTAACTGTGAATTGCTATGAAAATATTAAAACGTTCTTTCTAAATGGTCCTTATAATTCATTATTAATGAGAGTAAAAATATAAAAGTTACCATGAAAATTAAAATAAAAATGGTGACAATAATAATTTATATTATCTATAAACCTACCTATTAAAATATTATTCTCTACAAAAAAGAAATAAACCGGAAATTAATTCTTCTTTATTAATTAGCCACTTTTTTTATCATTAATTCGAAATAAATTATCTGAAAAAAGGACATTTCAATATTAAAATATTCATAAACATTATATAGTCCAAAAAGCATTGAAGAAACAATATTGAAGTTCTAATTTTTGAAATAGATCATTAGAATTAGGAATAAAATTGTATTTCCATTCTTTTAATATCACATTGTACTTTACTTTATTAATTAGAAAATGAATGTCAAAAATTTGATAAATTGACTAATGCTGAATTTTTTAAAAGCAATATATCTTTTCAAAGGGGGAAATTCATGTTTAGATACAATTATCGAGATGGTTTAATGGGTTCAAAAAGTTTTTTTTGATTATGTATGCAAAGACTTTATTTTTGGATGACACGCAAACGAGATTTATTGGAATTAAGAATGATTTTATTAGTTTTTTTTTGTCTCCTCTTTTGGTTTAAAATTAAAGTTTGGCATAGTATATATGCAAGATTTGTTTTATTCGTCGAGAATAATTAGAAAAAAGAAAATTAATTAAAAAAATTAATAATTTCGAGTAATATCCATATTATTATTACTGATACAGATTATATATTGAACTGATTTGAAATATTAAATTATAGTAAATAATAATTTGTTAACTAATTTTTTTTTATTTAATTTAATGGCATATAGGATTATATATTTACGTTCAGTTGTTGTAATATGTTTCTTTTCAAATGAAAATATATATGCCATTTCAACGGTAGAAATGATTTTAGAAGCCCTATAACGCTTTATGAAACGTCGAGTATAATAACTTAATAAGTTTGTGCGAATCCATATGTGTAAATTGCGGGACTTGTTTTTTTTTCTATTATATCAATGGTATTTCTTTTTTTAAAACAATATTAATAACTTTAATTATTAATTTTTTGAAAATTAGTAAAATTTTTAGATTTTAATTTTTTTATATTTTAAAAATTAAAAATTAAAATTAATTAACAGTTTAATTTTTGAAATTAAGAGTGAAATAATATATAGAGAATGAATAATATTTATATGGGGATAAAAAAGAAAATGAGTTTTGAAAATGTTGAATAGATGAAACTCGATTGGATATAGTGATATAGGTTATGGGGTATTATGAATCGAGCTCTGGAATTGTAGATGAGATAGAAAGAATGAGAATTGAAGCATATTGAAAGTGAATGTAGAAAATCCAAGTAGATTTAAATGGAGATTGAATAAAATCTAGGTCTTAAGTGATGCACAAAATAAAAATTATCTTTGAAAGTATTTAAATCAGAACTATCGTTATACGAATAGAGTGAATATTTAAGAAAAAGATTTAATTAAATATTGACACTTAAACGATTTTTTTTTGCACAATTTTTAATTGTCTTTCGCGAAAACTTTATATAATTAATTTATTTATTAAAGTACGCGTAGGAAAAGTAGAAAGGAATATTTTTTTTTTACTGAATTAGAACAAAGATGCAAATTATTTGAGAATTAAAGTTAATTTTTTTTGGTCTGACTAAAACAGATTAATTCTACTTATAAACAAATTGGAAAAAGCCTAGCTAAAATCGATTGGTAGCACTGCTACAAAAATGCTGTCCTACAGAAAATTACTTTTACTACTGATGCTAAAATTGCAAAAAAAAATTTAGTGGCTGGCTATAACTGTTTTTTACTACTGAATCTCAAAACGAGAAAACAGATTTATTTTCTGTGACTAAAACTGTTTTTTGCTACTGATACAAAAAAAAAATAATATACAAAATTTTTAAAATCTTACTAATATTTAATTATTCTACTAATACTAAAATTAAAAAGGCCTGACTGAAATTTACTCGTAATATTGCTACCAAAAATTGTTAGGTAAAAATTTACTATGTAAAAATGTTTACTAATTTGAATTAGTGACTCACTATGTAAAATTTACTATGTAAAAATGTTTACTAATTTGAATTAGTGACTCACTTTTTGCTTCTGAATTAGTAAAATTTTACTAATTATTAGTAAATTTTACTAACAATTAGTAACATTTAACTAATTCTAAAGCAAAAAGTGAGTCACTAATTTAAATTAGTAAAGATTTTTTACTAATTCAGATTTAGAGAGTGACTAAAAATTATTTTACTACTGATTGTAAAATAAGAACAAAAATATATTTTGTCTAACTAAAACTTACTTTTACTACTTAGAACCCAATTACAACGTCTGACTAAAAATGGCTTCTACTACTTCTACTAAAATAAAAACAAAACAATATATTAATACTAACACTAAAATTCCAAAAGTTCTAAACGTTTTTGTTTTCTTTTTTTCGTTCTTGACAAGAATAAAAAAAAATTCGACAAGTCTGACTGATATTTGTTTGTACTACTTTTATAAAAATTAGTTTTAAACACTTAAAATTTTTTTTTTGTTTTTTTAAATATAATTGAAATTTAATTAAAAATTCCGACTTTTATTCGAGTTTATTGCAATTTTTATTGTAGAAGAGAAAATACATTCTCGCAATTATTTGAAACACGTGTGTAATTTTAGAGGAAGCGAATTCAAACATCTAAGGCGAAAATCAAATGTGGGTGGTGAATCCGAGTAAAAGGAGAAGGTCCTTCTATGTATTAACTCGAGTAACCCCTTTTCCACTTTGGCTCTCTCTCTCTCTCTCTCTCTCTCTCTCTCTTGCAACTTGTGCTTCGCCCCATTCCATTTCCATTCCGAAGCACTGGCCGTATTACTCGAGCTATGTAAATGAATTTCGTTTAATTATCTGGGGTCGCGTGCTGGGCGACGAACGAGGGGCAAGAGGCACAGAGAAAATTCACGAACGAATGGGGAAGTTGGGAGAGGTTGCTTTCACCTACTGTTAAAGCTCGTGTCCCTGAATTCACTG